GCGGAGGCGGAGGCGGAGGCGGAGGGATCTCTATGAGTTTGAGGCCAGTCTGGTCTACAGGACAGCTGGGGCTGCTACACAGAGGAAATCCTGCTCAAAAAAAAAAAAAAAAAAAAACAGCTAACCAACTAGCTTGGGGAGATGGCTCAGTGGTTAAGAGCACTAGCTGCTCTTTCACAGGACCCAGGTTCAATTCCCAGTACACTAATGACAGCTTACAAGCACTTTTAATTCCAGTTCCAGAGGACTCACAGACACACATGTAGGCAACACACACACACACACTTTTTAATTACAGAAAAAAAAAAGATAATGATTATTTCACCTGGCCATGAAACCGCTGATCAGCAGCAGTCAAACACACGTGACTGTTCTTGGTGGCACAATTTGAGTTATTCACAAGAGGACAGCCCTAACCTTTAACCCACACAACTGGGTTGCTGGATGTTTCTTTCCCTACATTTGCCTCCCCACAGTGGGAAACGGCCTTCAGAAATGGGATCTGTGTTATTGCCAGTAGTTAGTACTAGACCGGAAGCCTGTAGGTTGGAGGGGTTGAGGTGGGGAGGGTGGTGCCTGGGGCAGGCAGGATAATAGTGGATCAAGTGATGGGGCTGTGGGCGGGAGAGCAAGGCAGAGCCTGCCGCAGGCTTGCTACAGTGCTGGAGAGAATTTCCTTCAGACCCAGCACAATGGAGACCCAGATGTCCCTGGCAAAGCCAGACTTCCAACTATTTTTCCCCCCCAGGCCTGATGGCTGGTCTCCCAACATCAAGCATGAAAACTTTGAGGAGGGCATGCATTGGGGGTGCAGGGTTTAAGAGCCAAGTGGGTCTGCTTGACAAGCAGGAAGAGATGCAGCTTGACCCCTCCTTTTCTGTTAGTGAATCACTCAGGAGCTTTTCCTCCGGACTGAGATTCTATTATAAACCCCGGATCCTCACAGTCAATAGGCCTTTTCTGATTTGAGCTAAGCAGATTCCTGGCATTCATCCCAAGTGTACATACAGCCTCTGCATGAAGGCCAAAGCTGCATAAAAACCCACAGGCCTGATCAGCCAGTACCAACAGGAGAGCATTTCTTCTACCAGGGACTAGTGGAGATCAGAATGTCTGCTGTAGGAGGCGCAACTGGGGGGAAGATGTGGAACCTGAGTGAAGGGAGACCGCAGGGAGGTAGTCCCTTCTTGGGAGACTTGAGGCAGAACTTCTGAGGAGGTCAGGGAATTTGTTACCTGAGTGATAGACCGTAGGCAGGCTTGGGCACAGAGGCTTGCTTAGGAGATGGATATAAAACATTCATTTAGAGGCTAGTAAGATGGGTCAGCAGGTAAAGGTATCTGCCATGCAGTCGTGGCAGTGTAAGTTTGATCCCTGGAACCCATATAAAGGTGGAAGGAGAGAAGCAATTACACCGAGTTGTCCTCTCACCTCTACACACACAACACACACACACACACACACACACACACACACACACACACACACAGATACCAGTGTCACCAGGAACTAAAATGGCTTGGGGGAAGGGCGCCTAAAATTTAAATTCTTAACAATGCATCATACAGAGTGAGGGTGTCTGCAGAGGCCCAAATCTGCAGAACTGAGACCTTTAATCCAACAGGGGTCTTTGGATGTTCTTTGGTGTTTTCTGTCCTAATGGCTGAGCAGCCTAGAAAAGATCAAGGGTTCCTTTCCACCTTGCACAGAGAGCCTGTGCACAGAACTCTTCATCAGCTGTAAAGAGCTGAAGGTTCTCAGGGGAAAAACCTGTCACTCTTGGCTAATGAGGCTCCTGCCATAGACAGTGTGGAAAAGAGGACAGAGAAGGCTGGCCTGGCTTCTTCGAGGCTGGTAGAAAGCACAGCGACAGGGTAGCATCTGCCTCAGGACTAAAGGTTTCCCGAAAGCAGAGGCAGCAACCAGCAAGCTATAATTTTGGTTCAAGGCCTGAGCATACTACAGAATGGGTCCCAAGGTTGACTGGAGTGGTTATCAGCCATGTCAAGGTTAATCACTGTGCCTCCTACACTACCTGCTAGGGTGTAAGTTGTCTTAATCAGTCTGGAAGCTATTAGGTAGGCAATCTCTACAAATGCTGAACGTGTCTGTGAACCATACCATGACCTGACAGTTACATCCGCAGGGATATGCACAGCGCTGTGTACATACTTGCTTGCCCATAGGCAGTCACAGAACCATCCACAGCAACAGTATTTGTAGTGACCTCCCACTGGAAGGGCCAGATGCTCTCTGACAGTAGGGTGGGTAAGTTCTATATGGAATGCCACAAAGCCAGGACAGTCAACTAGTCAACAACTTGGAAAGAGTTCTGAGTGAAAGAATTACTAGATTTCATTTATATAAAATACCTTAGGTTAAATACTCAAAATCAATCTACCACATATATACTAAAAACCATTGACTCAACTGATTTGGTTTTATTTATTTATTCACTTATTCATTCATTCATTTTGAGATAGGTCTATGTAGCCCCTGGCTGACCCAATTCTATGCAGTCTAGTCTGGCCTCAAACTTGCAACAGTCCTCGCATGTCAGTCTCATAAGTGTCAGGATTTGCAGGCCTGTCCCCCACCCCTCAGCTCTTGTATACTTTACATAGTGAATGATATGATTTATGAATAATACTCTGTTGCCATATTTTTAAAAAATCTGTAGTACCTGAAGTCAGGATTGTGGTTACCCCTGGAGACTGGGTGGGGCTCCTGGGTTTTGGTTCATTGAAAAAGAGCTGGTGACCAGAGCATGATCAGGTGTGGCAACTCTGGGTGCCGAGGCATAGCCCTGTGTGTACATTGTACCTTAATAGAGTTGACAATGAAAATAGCCACAAACAGCTGGATGGTGGTGGCTCACACCTGTAATCCTAGCAATTAGGAAGCAGAGATAGATGGATCTCTGAGATCCAGGAAAGCCAGGATTAAACAGAGAAACCCTGCCTCAAAAAGCTAGAGAGAGAGAGAGAGAGAGAGAGAGAGAGAGAGAGAGAGAGAGAGAGAGAGAGAGAGAGAAAGAGAAAGAGAGAAAGAGAGAGAACACGCGAGAGAGTGAGAGAGAGCCAGAGAGTGAGAGAGCGAGAGGCCTGGCCTTGGTGCCCAGGATGGTGGCTAGACATACTTACTGACTTTAAGAAGAATCCCAAGTGCCACCACAGCATCCTGCAAAAGGACCCCAAGTTTATGAGGATGGGGTCCCCTATCTCTCTAGTGAAACATCACCTGTGGAATGTAGGGACATTCTTAGAACAGAAGGCAGGGTGTTTGTTCCCTTCTTGACTCCAGGATGTCTGCTCCTTTCTCTTTCCCAGGCTGAGAGTCCTCAGAGCCAGAAAACCTCTGCTCAGTGGCTCTTGTGATTGGTCACAGCAACATCCTCCACGTATCTATCCTGCAGTCCCTGTGTTTGAAAGTGGGTATGCCTTCACCCCAGGGAGAGCTCCAGGGCCAGCTGCCTTGTACAGACAGGCCTATACTGCTGTCTCTCCAGAGCCCAGCCTCTCCTGTCTCTAAAGCCTCAAGGTGGCCTTGGCGGACAAGTCAGTCGCTGCTTAGCAGCAGGAACACCTGAGCCCCAGGAAAATGAATCTCACAGGGAGAGTCCTGAGCTTGGGGAATTTAAGGTATAGGACCACGCGGGGATTTGGGGCTGTAGGCCTGAGTAGGACATGGAACTGCAGGCATAGGGCTAGAACTGGTGTATCCCTTTCACGCAGGAAGCATTAGAGATGAGTCCTCCCAAATCAGACTCTCCAAGGACTGCAGCCATGGCAGGGGACTTGCGTTCCAGGAGATCTCGATTTTAAAACAGTGAATTTAAAACCTGCTAGGTATAGAGGTCCACACAGATAAGCAATGTGTATGTATTCATTGGGTAAATATTTGTAGGCAGATTCTCTAGCTCCAGTCAATACTGGCTCTGGGGGAGCAGCAGCCCAGCCTTGCTGTCCATGGAGAAGCTGGCATGTGGCAGACAGTTCATTACAAAGGTCAGCAATGGCAGCAATGGCGGCAAAGGTGGCAGTGGCAGCAATAGTGGCAGTGGCCAGGGTTTCATCCAACTGGGGCTCTTTTTGCAAAACACAGTTTTCTTTCAACTTATCTGTCTCATAAGTCTGGGTTTCTGCATTTTGTTTGGGAGCAGACAGTAGTTCACATCCAGCTCTGTAGATGAACTGTGTCTGTGATAATCCATGCCAAAAAGAGAACTCATTGATACTTTCCAAACTGACTCAAGGAATAATGAACCAGGCTTGGAGGCTCATACCCAACACTTTGGAGGCTGAGGCAGGAGGACTGCCTCGAGTTAGAGGACAGCTTAAGCTATGTCTATGCAAGTAAGACCCTATCTCAAAAAAATAAAAATAAAAATTTAAATAAAAAAACAGGGCATAACAGCATACACCTTTAATCCAAGCACTCAGGAGGCAGAGGCAGGTGGACCACTGTGAGTCTGGGGCAGCCTGGTTTACAGAGTGAGTTCAAAACTAGACAGAGCTACATTGTAATACCCTGTGTCAAAAACAAATAAACAAACTAGGGAGAATTATAGAAGATAGCTACTTTTCATTTCCATTTTCTGCCATTTGAAACATCAAGAGGTGATTTAACAATCTGTCGGAGACATAGGAGACTTAATTTAGTTTACCATGCATAAACAAGTCTACCAAATTAGCATACATAGCAATAAACACCAGCTGACTCTCATCTTCCCCTAGGTCTGTGTTACAGGACATAAAAATGCAAAAGTAAAGTCAGCCCCGGCTTGGTACACAGGTGCTTCAATCAAAACAGACGTATGCGCTTCATCCTTTACATGACCTAGGACATTTAGATGTTACCCCTGGTCTAGCTGCTACATTGGACCCTAGAGAAACTCTCTTTGTCCAGGGAAGCACTGGTTCACGTGGGTCTCATCTGGAACAGTCCCAGAAGCAGGATAAAGCAACAAAGGGAAAGCCACTTTGGGTACAAAGCGTTACCTTGGTCCCGTGGTAGAAGTCGTCCACACACGTGGCATTCATGAAGGTCTGGTGGAAGTGGGTGCTGGTGTCAATCCCTCCAGGGATCACCAGTTTCCCGGTGGCATCAATCACCTTAGCTCCACCAGGGATCATGAGCTCCCGGCCCACCTGCTGGATGATGCCGTTCTCAATGTAGACATCCGCCTCGTGGGTACAGTCATCGTTCACCACCTTGCCTCCCTTGATGAGAATGCGCACGCTGGCTGAATTGGCAAGCATGTTCCTGTGGAAGGTGAGTGGGTATCTGGTTAGGGTCACGTCACTCAGTGACGTTTCACAGTCACCAATGCCCACCCCTTTCTGTCAGGGTTCAGTTCCTCAGCCACGGGGAATAGGGATGGGAATCCTGAGACACACTGGTCCTTCGGGAAGCTTTAATCACGAGCCTTTCCCTGACCTCACAGGGTTTTATTTGGAATCTGGGCAGAGGAACTGGGACTCACAGAAACGTCACTTAGATGTGTGCAAGTACATATGCATGTGTGAAAACACACAGGGACGTCAGAAGTCAACCTGTTACTCCTCAGGCGTTACTCCTCAGGCCTTGTACACTGTGTTTCTTTCCTTTTTAAAATCTCTTTCGGTTTATTTTATTTTATGTTTATGAATGTTTTGCCTACATATATGTGTGTGTACCACATGTGTGCCTGGTGTCCAAGAAGATCAGAAGAGGGTTGTAGGATCTCATGAAACTTGAGTTAAGGATAAGTGTAAACCACGGTATGGGTGCTAGAATCAAAGCCTGGTCCCCTGGAAGAGCATCCAGTGCTGTCATCACTAAGCTGTCTCTCCAGCCCTGTTTACCATGTTTCCTGACAAATCCATGTTTCACCTGGACCTGGACCTTTCCAATTAGTCTAGGCTGGCAGGTCGGCAGGGCCCAGGATTCTCCTGTCTATGCCCCCCAGCTCTGGGATTTTCACATTGGTGCCTGAGGCTGAACTCAGGTCTTCAGGCTTCTCCAGCAAGCTCTGAACTGACCAGCCCCCAGTGGAGACATTGCTCTTTCCCTTTCTAAAATGCTATCTGAATTTATATAGCTCTCTGTAGTCCTGGCTGGCTGTGAGCTTTTGTCCTTTCCAATCTACAACCCAAGTACTGGGATCACCAGTGTGTAATTTCTGCCAGCTTGCTGTAAGAGTAAAGCATTTTCATATCTAATATCTAACTTTATTTCCAAAATTTCACTGGGAGCCACATTTTTACAGGTGAGAAAGTTGAAATTGCTAAGATGTTTGTGACTACCAAATAGCCAGATTAACCAAACCGGTTTGCGTGACCAGTATCTCTCTAGCCCTCCACGGTGTGGAAAGATCCTTAAAGAGCCACATTCTCCAAACCCCACAGCCGTCTTATGTCATGATGTTCCTGGTACAGAGTCAGTGACCCTCATGCCCCTGGGTGGGTCTCAAAAGACTACCCATCAAGCCTTAGGAGCTGGCTACAGAGTAAGCTTGTTGAACTGCTGGAAAAACCCCTATAACCTACAGCCAAGCACCAAGAGATTTAAGACTTGAAACACTCTCTCTCTCTCTCTCTCTCTCTCTCTCTCTCTCTTTGAAACAAGGTCTTACTATGTAGCCTTAGATGGCCTGAAACTCACTCTGTAGTCCAGAACATAGACATTCATCTACCTCTGCCTCCCAAATGCTGTGATAAAGGCATGTGCTACTATACTATGCCCAGCTTTAAGTTCATTTTCATACGTGGTAAATGTCATCCTTCAGGACTGGAGTCTACTGTCCTCTCTATGAAGATGCTGCCTCTGATTCTCCTTGTATCCTCTACAGACTCAAGTGCCTCCGTGGCATTGGATTCTATGCCCACAGATGCTCTGAGGCTTCGCAGCAGAGGCTCGTCAGTCACCTTGGATGTCACCTCTCCCATTCCCCAATGTTTGGTAGAGGATATGTGTATTTTCTTGGTTGCTGTGATAAACACCTCGACAAAAGACATTTGAGGGAGAAAAGGGTCTATTTAAGCTTACAGCTTACAGTTAGTTCACCATGAAGGAAAGCCAGGCAGGAGCTCAGGGCAGGAACCGGGAGGCGGGAACTGAAGCAGAGGCCATGGAAGAGCACCACTTCCTGGCTTGTTCTGTTTCCTTTCTCAGACAGCTCAGGCCCACTTGCCCGGAGGCAGCACTACCTAAGATGAACTGGGCCCTCCTATATAATTAGCAATTAAGAAAATGTCTCACAGACACGCCCACGTGCCAATCAATTTCTCAATGGAGGTTCACTCTTTCCAGGTAAGTCAAGTAAACAACTGAAACCCACTCTGATGACGCAGGAACCCAGAGAGTTCGCCTAGAGGCGAAAGACCTTAGCTACTAACAGCACTCTGACCAGCAATGTGGCTTAAAGCGGGATCAGGAGACCCACTGCAGAAGTTTCTGGGACATCTGTCAATCTTGGAAACAAGATCATGCATCTATCACAGCAAACTACTATAGAGTGAAGGAGACACATTTTCTCTCCTCTCCCCCAGTCCGTTTCGCCGGCCACCAAGCAAGTCACAAGCAGAAGTTACATGGGATCTGTGTGTTTGGTTTCTGGACAGGGATTGAAGTGCGTATTTTACAGATCAAAGCAGACCTGAGTGGTACAACCTGTCTCCAATGATGAACTTTCCAGCCCAGGGGCTGGGCTACCCTTTCCCCTGAAGGTCTTCCCTATATAATTCAGATATTTTGGTCTCTCCCTTTCCCCCTTCTCTTCCCCATCTCTCTATCCCATGGTGACTTCCCTGGCTCAATGAACCTGCCTTTGTTATACTCTAATCTGGCTTGAATTGGCTCACTTCACCAGCGGGAAAGATAACCTGCCACTGTGCAAGACACATCTCTTGCAATAAGAATCATCAGTAACCTGCAGTGTGCGGTTTGCTCTCCTGCATAGTTGTTAGAGCAGGGGTCTCGTGGTTGTGTCATGTGTACAAACAACCCCAAGAGAGGATCCAGTGCCCCCTAAGCCTGGTCACGAGGTGCTCCTGAGCCATTGGGAGGAAACTGGCATTCAGGAGCTGTTGCCCTGGGGAGTGCCTGGACAGGTGTCTGGGAGTGACAACTGTGATCCTTCAACATCTGCTTCCTTAATGGTATTATTCTGACCCCTGGGGAGAAGAGGCCTTTCTCCCCAGTGTGAGAGGCACTGGCAAACAGGCCATGGGAGGAAGCTGAAATAGAGGGACTGGGGAAGATGGGGGACAAGTTGAGTGTCTAAGGGCAGACACATATCACAGGAGCTTGTGTCCCACACACCAGAAACTGGAGTCTTGACTTTGTAAGTAATAATCTGAACACGGGTTTGGTTCTTAGGTGATGGGAAAAACTACTCTGGCCAAATCCTTCTTTTCAAAGCCTTTTCTCTCATTACAAAGCCAGGCCCATGTGTGGCGAGGAAGGTATGGGTCGAGTTTTTGTGACAAGATAGTGGTGGTGGCAGGGCAGAGGGGAAGAGGTGCAATACGTAACCCTTGCCTTTCCGAGTGGCTTTAAGGCTCACAAATACCACAACCCTGCCACATATCCATACTCATGTTTTAAAGGACAATGCTGGTTTGCCTCGGCGCTCACAGCCCTTATATGCAGGGCAGGAGACCTGGAAAGATGTGGCAGGAATAACTTACAGGGGACACAGAGCTCTGCTCTGAGCTCTGTCACCAAAAACAAAAGGCAAACTCTGTCAGGACATTAATATCAGCCCTGAACCCAGCCCTTACCATGCGATCCTGCGAAGAGTGAATACGGCAGTGTTAGCCTCAGTTGAACAGGAAGAAACAGAAGTTTGAAAGTATGGGGATTGGGACAGGGATATACTTCAGCTTCAGGATGGGCAAGCTGAAGGGAAGTTAGTAGTGGGAACTCCGCCAAGGTGACTGCTATATTCTTCATAGTTGCAGAATTTTCAAAGTGTTATCCAATAAACTTGTATTGCCTGTACAACAGGAACATTCATATGTTTGCTTGGGTTTTTTTGCTTGGGCTTTCATTGTTTCTGAGACAGGGTCTTTCTTTCTGTGTAGCTCTGACTGAATTGGAACTTCCTAGGTAGACCAGGCTGGCCTTCAACACTGAGATCCATTTGCCACTGTCTCCAGAGCACTGAGATTAAAGGCTTTTTTTTTTCCTACAAGCCTGGAAGAAAGTGAGCTGGTCCAGGCCAGCTGACAGGACCCATCCTGTGTCATCCTTTCTCAGAAGAGGAGCCATCACTGTTCACAGGGCTCCAGCACCCTCTCCCCTCCTCTCCGACTCTGGGTTGTCACCATCTCAAAAACATATCTTTCCCCTACTTCCCAGTGGACATCCCTGAAGGCAAAGGTGGCCCTGATCGCTCCCCTGAAGAATAGCAGGCAGCCCACACTTTCCCTGGTCTGGGGACCCACTTCTACAGCACTGAGTCAGTCTTGGAGAGTCAGGCTGGACTGCACACTCAGAACACTGGAGAGGAAATTCCTTCACTCCTTCCTTACCCACAGGAGGAGGGTGCTGTCATTGATACTACATACACTCAATGTCCTCATCTGTACACAGACCACCGCAAGGCCTTGCCAGGTCCCCAGCCTGAGGCATTGACGTCCTTGACGTGACCCTCCTGGTGTCAACAACACATATTTACTCAGGGTTTCTTCATGTCCTATGTCTCCTGACCCACAACTGTATAAGCCAAATTCAGCCTTAACCCCCAGGAGCAGACGGCGGTATCTGGGGAAGTCTTTAAAGTTAAATGAGGCTAAAAATAGAGTGGAAGCCTGACCTGACGAGATTGGTGTTCTTGTAAGAAGAGAGACCAGATGCTCTTTTCCTCTTTTTCTTTCTGAAAATGTTGAAAACTAAAAATAGAGTGCCATACGAGACCACAGAGAGAAGGTAGCCATCTACCAGCTAGGGCAGGCCCTCTTCAAACAGACTCCTGGCTTCTGAGCTAGAGGTGAGTTAAGTTTCCGGTTTACTCTACCTAGTCTGGGGCATTTTGTTATAGCATCCTTGGTATACAAATACAAATGCACACATCTTAGCCGTAAGCTATGCTGCCAGTATGGAAGCCGGATGATCTAGCCCCCAGATCTGCAGCTGCCCGGTGGAGCCACTTCAGTATAAACAGCCTAGCCTCGGGGCAGGGTTAGACCTGGTGCCCTGAACACTGTCCAGACTTATACTTCTGGCTGTAGGAGGCACAGTGAACTGTTGTCACCCAGAACCATCTATGGGGCTC